GAGAAGTATGAAGTGTGGGAAACAGGTGCAGACAGAAGTGATAAATAAAATATTTGGTGGATCACACAAAAGAATAAGTGTGGGTTCTGACTTAAAACCTGCTACCAGATGCAGCTGTACAATTGAAGTATGTCAACTCACCACCAAGCCTGCTATCAGATGCAGCTTAATTGTCATTTGCCTCTCAAAGATAGAATTTTTATGATTCTGCAAGTAATCACTTTATTATGGTCTCTCTGCAGTCAAACCTCTCTGCTAATGTTAATCTGTATTTGCAGGTGCTCCCCAGCCCTAGCATTATTGCCTCAGCTCTGCTTCAGATGATCAGGGGTCTTTTACTGTCATAAGGAGTATACATCCTAATCCCTCACATGCACAGTTCACAGTAGGGTTTATGTTCCTATGAAAATCTAACAACAGAGCTCAAGCAATAATTTGAGCCATGGTTACACAGATGAAGCTGTGCTCCCTTGCCCACTGCTCACTTCCTGTTGTGTGGCCCAGTTGCTAAGAGGGTACAGATTCTTTTTGTATTCTGTGGGCACCCCTGTGAGGAATCCTGTCATCTATAGCCTGAGAAACAGATTGGATGTTCCCTTAGTATCTCATACTTCTTACCACTTTCTGAAGCGGTTCTGAAAGTCCTTTTCATTAATGCTTTAGTTGCACTGTCATAGAATCAGTTAAGAACGTTTACCTCTGTGGTCATTTTTCCTTTGGGGAGCAGTCAGTAATCACACAGTGCCAGAACTAGTGATTGAATGATGAAGACACACTGTAATGTTTTCAGGTGCCTGTCTTTCACTTTAGTGGCACTTGGCAGCTGCATTCACCATATGTTTAATCAGACCTCATAAAGACACTCAAAAGAGGACTTTTAAACTGCTTCAGAAAGTGGCAAGAATGATGTGCTATGTTCAAAGCTAGGGAGGGTTGATGACAATGTGTCTCTTACTGTAATAAATTTTTGTAGTTCAAACATTCACTCTATATTTTAATCATACCACATATATTAGATAGTACAAATAGAAGAAAAGGTAATGCAGAAATGCCTAGGAAATGGTAAGGGTAGAGAATAGATGTTGAAATTTTAGATACAGTGCTCAGGGTATTCATATGCCTCTTGAGGAAGAGACAATTTAGGAATGAACTGAAAGAAGTAAAGAAGCAAACTTTAAAAATATCTGTATAAAAACTCTGTATAGCCTTTGTTTTTACCTGAAATTAGTAAGGATCCTGAAATAAATGCATGATTTTAGTGTATCAGGAATGGTGAAGAAGCTAGTGTGGTAGAGGTAAAGTTCAAGAGCTAAGGTAAGAGAGACATAGCAGGAAACAGTTTGATATGAGTCAGGCATTCAGGGTGGAGTTTAGTATCACCAGTGTATGCATGGGTCTATAGTTATGTGACAAGAAGACTCCACCAGGGAGGGGAGTGAGAATAGACAGAGAAGAGATAAATGTTCATGGCTTGAACTCTCGAGCACTCTGACATTCAAAGGTTGGGGATCTGACATATAGTCAGGAAAGGAAACTGAGACAAAGAGTTCTTGATTGGTTTTGTAATGTTCCATGTATTGGCCCATTTTATCTTCTCTTTTGCCATTACGTTAGTTACTATTTATTGGTCTTAGGAATACATCTTTTTCTTTCTGGCTTGTCTGTTTGTATGCTCTGGGGAGCAAATCTGGAGCTTTCTACATGCTAAGCATGGGCTCCTGAGCTGTCTTTTTTTTGAAATATTCTTTCTTTCACCCAAAGTGACTAAATCTTTTATATCTTTTGTGATGCAGCTCAGCTATGGCTTCTCAAAAATATGTCAGATACAGTTTAACTTTTCCTTACTGGTAGTCACACACACTAGCATTATAAAACCTTCTCCACTCTTTCTTGGTCCCATTGTTGCACACAGGCACTAGTTCTCTTTCTCATTTTCTCTATCAGAATTTCTTTTACATCTTTCCAGCGGATTTCTTTGTGATCCTTGAGATTCTGTGTTGTATTTATTGTTCAATGTTTTGTACAGTGTTTAGTACTTGGTGCTTCAACAATATGTATGGTGAATTTGAAAACTAATACAAATTAAATAGCCAAAATAGAGAAGAACCTGGTATGGGCTTGGCATTTGGTAAGAGTGATTTCAGTTGGAATGTAGAATAGTTTTTGTGAAAGAGGGTGTTGTGTAAATTCCAAAGGAAATGAGTAGTATGTCAATAAGTCATAAATTATCAATATTTTTCTAGTAGCAGCAAGGAATTTCTGGGTACAGTGGCTTGATTAACTTCTTTTCTGTCATCTTCATTAAAAAGCTGCCTGGCAGACACAAAATTTTACCAAACCGGTAGAAACAAGTACAGAGGATTCATTATTTTGAATGTTTATTTGCATGAGATTTTTTTTGAATAACTGATTTCCTTTTCATTTTTTTTAACAAATTACCCAACCTGTCAGGTATTGGAATGCCTCAGTTTTCATAGAGATGTGAATAAATGAGTAGTTTTAAGTCAAGATCTCCATGTTGGGCATTAGCTTACTTAAGAGTCACGGAATTATTAAACTTCAGAGAACCATAACAAGTCAATGTGTGAGGGTGGAGAAAGATTTAAAAGCCAGAATTTCTAAGGAATGTAAGAAGTGGAAACTAGAAAAAGGTGTTAGTAGAAATAAGGTTTCTCTGTTTATAAGTATTAAATTAATACATGAGATGAGTCACATTTTAAAATATTTTGTGGATTTTGCTTTATATTAAAAATATTTTTCCTGTGGCATGACTATAGATACTTACAAGATGAGACAAATATAAATTCTTTCTTTTCAGTGTAACACAGATGAACTACATATTAAGTAGGAAGTAACATTGATAGTAAGCAGTTGTGTGAAACTATTCCAAAGAAAAAGCTCAAGTCTTTCATTCTGAGTATTGCCTTCTCTATAACATTAATATTTAATGTTTTATGATCCAACTAAAGTTCACTTTAGAATTTTCATATTTTTGTCCTCTAAAATGAATCTTTAAGCATGTGTTTCCAATAATTCAGTTAAAATATGCTGAGTTGTATATTTTTAGAGAATCTGTTTTGAAAAGATTCCAAAATATTTATTTGAACAGGCCCCCAGCGTCTTGATGAAAACGGTTGGAAAAGAAAAACTTTAAGAATCATTCTGCTCCCAAGTACCCAAGCCAACTAAACTGGTACAGTTAACACTTTTGTCAGAGGCCAGGAGCCAAGAAATTTAGCACTTCCTGGGCTGCTTTTCAGCAGGCCTTCTAACCGACTTAGTGGTTAATGTTAATACCATTGGTTTTTCAGAGCAAAAACTACAAGTAGAATATCTATGTCTCTTTCTGTCAATATTATTCATAGTAAGCCTTTTTAGTAACTTATGGTTAGCTTCCATCTCTGTCTTATATTTGCATTTTTGGATTTCATGGGGTACTTTTTTTGTAAAGTAACAAAGGAAGACCCTATAGAATATGACTCCAAGATAATTATACCCTCTCACAAATATCAGTATTTTTATATTACTTTGTAGCACAATTAAGTGTCATGGTAGAAATTAAATTAATGCACCATAATGGTTGGAAAAGATCGGTAGTTTATTAAGTTACCAAATGTATAAATAGGGATTACTTAGCCTCTTACTGATTTGTTTTCATTACATCTCCTTGCAATTTATTAATACCATTTAATACATTCAGCAATAATGTGCTTAGTGTGTATAATATGTCGCATTGATCTCTGTATCCATATATATTTGTTAAGTGTGTATTTACATATTAAATTGATTTCTGTAGATAGTACCTACCATATTTAGATGATGTGGTGAGGAGCAAATACTAAGATTGAAAGAGTCTCTGTTAACTACACAAAACCAAATTCAACATGCGTACTATCATTTTTCTCCAATCTCATAGATTTAGTTGGAAAAAAAAGCATAAATTAAATTTTCAGTCACTTGGTTTTCAAGTGGTTCCCACAAGATTAAATATAATTATTATACCTTAATATATTTTATTTCTTTCAGAACTTAAGTCTGAAGGGATTTAGGTGAAGCCCAAATGAAGAAACTTGTTTCATTATTTTGCTCTGTGGATAATGGGACATGGGAAATTATATATACTTTGGGGCACAGTGCTACTTGTGGCTTCAAAGGGTCTGAGTGTAAGCAGGGGAATACATTCCTCCCCTGCAACCTTGATTGGTCTTTCCATTTTGGACAGTATATTACTGAAAGTTTAGAAAGCAGGTTCTCTTTAAAAAAAGGAAAGAAAGAGAGAATGAAAGAAAAAAAAATTTTGCAGTTAGTAGAAGAAATTGAAGTTAATGATGACTGAAAACCAGAACATGTAGTTGATTAAAAGGCATACACATAAATAATAGGATTATAATAGAGTATGCTACCAAGATCCAAGAAAAGTAGAACAAGGGAAACAAACTCTAGTATGTCTATGTCCCATTTGATACTATTTTGGGTAAGTCTTAAAAGAAAAATGGTTGAGATCACTAGCCCTTAGAACATGAACTGAGAAATAGGAACTTTCTTTATCATTGGAAATAACTTTGACATATAAAGAAGGAAGAGAATTCTTCAATAGAGGAGTATTTTTATCTATAATTTCTCTGATTTAGTGCCAGAAACTTAAGAGAGATTAGTCAAAGCTGTTTCCATGTTTCATTGTTAGAAACTGATGGATGATATATTCTTCTTTTCTGTACTTCTTTTTGATAATTTTTAAAGCTTTTTGTGCTGTCCCCTCTGTTGCCAATTTCCTTGAGATTAAAAAAATGTATTTTAAGTAAAAGTATTATGAGACAAAAGTTTTATTCTGTGCATAGGATAATACTTCTTTTGTGACATTTTCTTTTCCCACCAAAAGTGAATGCTGTGCCTTTGTACATCCCATTTCTAATGGAGGACAAGAAGTTATTTTCTTCAGTGGCTGACTTCCAGAATTTTTGCCTGAATGTTTTTTGTCAAGTATATATTCCCTTCTTTAGGCCTTTCTATATAGAACCCACAAACATCGTCAATGTGAATGATGTCATTCAGAGGGTTAGTGACCATGCTTCTGCCTTGGACAAGAGAATTCATTACTACAGCCGGCTTTCTACTCCTGCAGACAAGGCACTGGTAAGAGGCAAAGCATTACTCATTATCTAAAGTTAAGTTGAAAAGAATAGTGAACAGTATAAACCAGGGAAACTCCCAGTGATTGACCTTTTTTGCTGACTATATTCCAAGGACAGCATCATGCAAAGTCAAAGATAGCAATTAACATATATCCTACATTTCAGGCTAGTTCATTCTTATTTAGCCTGGCATAGAAAGATCTGAACAATTTCTCTGTTAGGCACTTGCATTTTTTTAACTAAATTGTGCTTATTCCCAATTCCAAGAGCTTTGAAGATATAAGTTACTTTTGTACTGTCTATCTAGATCATTGATTAAAAACATAAAATTATATGATTCTGGTTTCTTCTGCTCATTTTTAAATTTGAAGCTAAAGGGGAAACGTATTTTTTAGAAATTTTCAACTGGAGTAAGAAACTGAAATATGACATATAGTTAGTATTTTCCTATTTAGCGTTATTATTTTATAGATTAAAAAGTCAAACACTTGATACTACAGTTTAGCCTTTGCATACCTTATTTTTGCAAGTTTTTCTTTTATCTTATAGCTATTAAAAACACAAAAATTATTATGAAAGAGGCCATAAATGAACAGATTAAAGAACTGATTTGACCCATCGGCTATAATTCATAGATCCTTGACCTTTTAAAATCTGTATTGTCATTTTGTTATGTTATCATTGTATATTCAAAAATATATAAATACTATGGTTCCCTATAAAATGATTATATATTCAATATTCAGAAATTTGAAAGCTTAAATAAAAATAAGTACATTCTATGAGAAAAACTATGATTTTTAAAAATAGTATTAGTAATAAGAGGGGAGAAAGGAACCAACATCCATTAGATGTTTACCAAGGGACAAAGACTCCACATCGCTTGAACATAGCTGTCTCATTTAATCCTTAACAATAGCTGTGTAAAATAAGCATTAAGGCCTCCTACTGTTATATGGCCAAAATAAAGACTTCATTGTTCTGGGTAGGATAATTTTGTTTCTCATTTTTTTTCTTCTAGATATCTATATCAGTAGCAATGGTGAAGTTTTAGTTCTGTTGTAGAACTAAGTATCTAAGTGCTAAGTATCTAAGTGCTTTGGGAAGCAGAGATAATTTGTATTTCAGTCTAGTTCAGACTGTCTAGGGACTGTACTCTTAGAAACAAACTTCAGTTGTACTGGCCAGACAAATCTAAGCCTCCACTTATATTGGTTGCCTAGAAATTTAGTCAGCATGGTATAGCAGTCTAATTGTCTTTATTAGGTGATGCTGAGAAATGGCTAGTAAAGAATGATCTAAAATTAACAATCTGATACCATCATTTTAAATGAATGTTTATATCCACACATCCTCATTTTCTGAAAAATTCCAAGATTATTTTTCCTAAAAGATTTTTTTAGGGAAGACTAGTATGAAACCATTGGAGTCAGGAATTTATAGAGTTAAATCTTTCTATTTTAGAAAAAAGTTGACATTTATCTTAATATTTATATTATAAAATAAGAAGGGGAAGAACATTATTTGTGTGCCAGCATCTCTTTGAGCCTTGTCAATAATAGAGTAACCCAGACAAATCAGCATTATCAGAATCACTGAGAGTTTAGTAAAGATGCAGAATTTCATGCCTTACTTCAGAGCTAATGAAGCAAAATCTACCTATTAATAATATCCCTGTGTGATTTATAGGAAGATTCAAGTTTGTAAACTACGGCCCGAGTCCACTGCCAAAGTGAGAGATCCAGCTCTCCCAATTTTTCTGTTTGAAGAATTTGCCGTTGTGTGTGTGTGGTTCTCCTTTCATGTCTCTTCACAGTGCAGAACCGGCTCAGGGCTTTGGCTAAAATGTATATATAGCAGATTTGCTTGCCTTCTCTTTCTGTATAGTCACTGTAGGAACACAGCCAGAATCACCACTTCCTGTCTCATACCGCCCTTGTAACTTTTGATTTCACTTTTTTAAAATTTACTTTGCTAGACACAGTTCTTTTTCCCCTGCCTGATAGAGAATGGTCCTGTCCTTTTCTATTTTTATTCATGGGAGCAGACAATAGGACATAGACCTAAGAAGATTATGGATAAAGAGAAAGCAGTAGACTTTTTTTTCCATATGTCTTTGTATCTCTAGGAAATAATTGTTTTCAAAGCCACATCACACACAGCACTCAAGACATTCTTAGCCTATACACATTACCATTCATGTGCATAAAAAAAAGTACCAGTTCTTGTCCTTTCTTTCTGCAGAAGCCTGATACTCCCTCTCTATTGTTAAGCCTTCCCTAACTATTCTTGTCCCCATTATTGTCATTCCTGTGATATAGTACACAACCACAGAATTTTATTGTCTTCTACCCTTGACTAATTGCTTTATGTGTCTTCCAACTGGAATGAATGTTTTTTGACATTTGAGGCTACATATTTTTCTCTTGAATTTAGCACAGAGTTGTAAATTTACATATAATAGATGTTAAATATAAAAGATTTCAAGATGGGCATGGTGGCTCACACCTATAGTCCTAACACTTGGGAGGCAGGAGGATTGCTGTGAGTTCAAGACCAGCCTGGCCTACATAGTGAGCTCAAGGCCAGCCTGAACTGCATAGCAAAATCTTGTCTCAATAAGACCAAAAATAAAATAAAATATCTTGTTTTACACCAGTCAGCTCTATACTCTATGCCTTAGGGCTTTGCCTTTGCAAAAGATCTATTGCTTTCTTTTCTATTATCTTTTATTTTGCTCTATAATTTATTTATATTTTGAGTTTCCCCTGTAAGAGAAACCATGTACTTTTTAAGCTTGTATGTCTGATCTATTTCATCTAACAGTATGATTTCAAGGTGCATCCACAGATGACTCAAGTTACCCTACAGATAACTCAAGTTTATTCTTTTTTTTTTTTTTTTTTGTCTTTTTCCTTTTTATCGGTACCGGGGATCGAACTCACGACTGCCTGCTTGCAAGGCAGGTGCTTATGCCGCTGAGCTAAATCCCCAGCCCCTCAAGTTTATTCTTTATGGTACAGTAATACTCTGTAGTATATAAATACCACATTTTCTTTATCCATTCATCTGTTGATGGACATAGAAACAGCTTCTAAAATTTAGCTATTATGAGGTATACTGCTGTAAACATGGCTATGCGTGTATCATTGTAATAAGATATCTTTAACTTTTGGGGGAAGTTACCTAGAAGGGGAATAGCTGGGTCAAATGGAATTTCTATTATTAATTTTTTGAAAAATCTCCATACTCCATAGTGATTATAGTATTTTACATTACCACCAACAATGTAGAAGTGTTCCTTTTTCCTTCCACAGCTTTGCTAAGTAGACCAGACTGGGCTTGAACTCACTGTGTAACCCAAGCTAGTTTCAAACTTGTAGCAGTCCTCCTGCCTCAGCCTGCCGAGTGTTGGGATTTTTGTTGTGCCACCATTTCGCAATTCTGTCTTTAAATTGCCATTTTGTTAAGCCACTTTAGTTCACCTTTTTCTTCTGTTACCAAAGCATTTTAAAAAGTAGTGTATTTTAGGCCAAGGGTAGTAGTACACGCCTTGTAACCCCAGCTACTCAGGATGCTTAGGCAGGGTAGCACAATCCAAGGCCAGTCTGGGCAACTTAGTGAGACCTTGCCTCAAAAAAGAAAAAGGGTTGGGTGTGTAGTGCTATCTTAGGGTAACCCTGAGTTCCCATCCCAGTGCAAAATAAAAACGTCTATCTTTGGGCCAGGAATATAGCTCAGTGGCACAAATGCCTGCCTGACCAAGTGTAAAGTCCTGAGTTTGAATGTCAGTGCCCCAAAAAAGATTCCTTTCTTTGTCATCCAGTGACTCCTTACCTCTTTCTAGTCTGTATACCTGCCTGTCTCTTTGTTAAGACTACCCTGGTGTTGCGTTCAGTCACTGCTTGATTTTTTTTGTTTGTTTTTGTTTTTGCTTGACATCGGGGATCGAACTCAGGACCTTGTGCTTGCTAGGCAGGTACTTATGCCACTGAACTAAACCCCGGCCCTACCGCTTGGTTTTTGAAATTGAATTGAATTGAATCCGCCTAGATTCCTTTAATCTCACCTCCTGCTGGCTCTTTTTTCTCCTTTCTCATGAAAATGAAAAGAAAAATATTTTGACAGTTGTATAAATTTAGCTTAAGACCTTCTACTGTATTTGAAAAGGAAGTTTTTAATTCACTAATCAAGACTACATATGGTTTATGAGTTTGTGGTGTTTAGAAATGTGTCTAGAGTCAGATACTGTGATGTATAGAAAATGACCTATTTTGTACATTTATTGATTCTCATATTTATGGGTTTCCCCTCTTAACACCAGATTGCTCCAGACCATGTAGTTCCAGCTCCTGAAGAATGCTATGTGTACAGTCCTTTGGGTTCTGCTTATAAACTTCAAAGTTACACTGAAGGACATGGCAAAAATACCAGTTTAGTGACCATGTAAGTAAAAGTACTTTGGGGGGGGGGATAATTAAAATGTATATAAATGAAAATTACTATTTTAACTTCTGTCTTAATTAAAATGTTTGAACAAACTCCCTATTTTTACTGCTATTACCCTGTTTTCAGTTTCATGATTTGGAATACCATGATGGGGACATCTATACTGAGTATTCCTTGGGGTATAAAACAGGTAATGTAATTTTTCAGCATTTTTTTATTCAAAATTTTATCACTTTATAGTTTGTCTTATAATAAATCTGTTTAAAATTAATTAAAGAAAATAGAATGATAGTTTATTTTTCTCATTGTCAGGTTTTTATCATGACTTAGGGTAACATTGTAATTGCATATGAATTTATTCTTACATGATGATATATGTTGTTCTGTATTTTTATTTTTAAATAGGCTGGATTTACTACTGGAATGTGTGTTATTGTGCTGATGGGCCTTTTAACACTTTATTGCTGCTACAGAGTGGTGAAATCACGGAGCATGATACGTAAGAATTTGACATAGTGAAAGCAAATTTTTGATATAAGTAGTTATTTCCCAGCGTGGCACATTGCAGCATATATACTCCGTGTGCATGTCAACTTACTGCTTTGTACTTGAAGATCATTCATGGCTTTCAGCTAAACTGATCTGTTAATGTATGAACAGCTGCCTTTGAAATTCAGAGAGGCTAGAAATTCTTTGCAGAATGCATTCATTTTGGTGTTAGTTTCCTCTTAAGAATAATAAAAGCCATATTCTTAAAATAATGCCTTTGAAGGAACTGAGACTTCTATGATTCTTATCAGTTATTGGTGACTCGTTTTGACCTACAAAACCTAAAGACCTACATGTTAGAACCTACCTCCTTAAAGTAGAAATTGTAAGTAGAAAAATGTGATAAGTAGTATGAATACATTTCCTCTACTCATTTATAAAACTTCAGCATTGGAGCAACTTCCTCCTCCCTTCCTCCCTTCCTTCCTTCGTCCTTACTTGGCCCCCAGAATCTCATTGTGTTGCCAAGACTGATCTCAAACTTGTGAGCTTGAGTGTTTCACACTTTGGCCTTGCCTATAGCTGGGACTAAAGATGTGCTACCACACATGGGTGTTGGATTAGCCATACATCTTTTTAGGTTGTTTTAAAGTGGTTTAGGGCATAAATAGACATGCATGATTTTGTTCAGTTTTAGCACATATAAACCCAACGGACCAGGCTTTAGCTCTATTTTTTTCTCTTCCAAGAGAGCTTCTTTATATTAATCAAAACTAGTTTTAGTTACTTGGGGGATATTACTTAAAAATCTTGGGAGAAGATTCATTCTGGGTCCTAGTGAAGAGTTTATTTATCCTTTGGTTTCTTTGGTTTCAGTTTTGATTGAATTTGGAGGACTTCTTTAGACTTATGTAGTAAGGTTGTATCTTAACTCAGGGTCTCTTAAAATTAGAACATAGCATCCAGTGAACTCTCATCATAACTGTTAAAGAACAGGTAATGCTTATATTACTTAAACTATCCCACACAATTTAAAAGATGAACTTGCTTCAATTCGTTTTTCAAAGTCAACATGACTAATACAAAACCTGACAGTACCAAAAAGAAATGGAGTTATAAGTTGTTTATAAAACATTACCAAATAGAATCAGTGAAGTATAAAAATAATAATACCCTATGTTTATGTTTACTCCTGTAAGGTAAGGATATTTTATTATTGAGAAATCTAATATAGTTCACTACATAGTAGTTTACTGTATTAACAAATTAAAGAAAAAAATCCACAGTCATATCAGTGGATACCAGAAAAGACATTTAAAAGACTTAAGTACTTACTCCTGATTAAAACTCAAAGTGAAAGGTACTACTTAAATATATTGTCTGTTTATCCCCAAACCAGTACCAACATGACTGTAAATTGATAAAATCCTAAATTTTATTAAAGCAATGAAAATAGGAATGCTAATAATTAGTCATAGTTTTTGGAAGTATGTATTACCAGAAGCAGCAAAAAATGAAAACAATCAATGTAAAAAAGTAGAAAAGACTATATTGTATTATAAGCAAAAAGATCATTAGAAATGCTGAGGTACTAGTACTACTAGAATTAATGAGATTAACAAGAAAGAATAAATTAGTAACATAAAGTAACAAGTAATAATTACATTACTAAGCAGAAAAAATTATTCCATTCACAAAAGCAATGCACTCTAAGAGACTTAAAAATTTATCAGCAAGTTTTCTGGAAGACAGATATAAAAAATGTCTAAGAATTCTAAGAATTCTTGTCTAAGAATATTCATGTCTAAGAATAAAGAAAAATAACAAGTGAAAAAAATACCACATTATCAGGAAGTAAGTTTAGTATGCTTAAAGATGTCACATGTATAAATTTAGTCTCATTTCAATGAAAACTCATTTTATTCAATAAAAATAACCTGAAAGTTAATATGAACAAATGAATACCCATGCAGAGCCAAGAAAATTATGAGAAAGGACGTATGGGAAAATCAGACTTCAAGTACTAAGAGGTACTATATTAGAAATAGCCAAAAAGATTTTAAATAGGAACCATAGCAACCATTTAAATAAGAATTTAATGTATTTGGTACCTATTCAAATTATTATCCATTTTGAAAAAACTACTTTTATGGCATCTTACACAAAAATGTATTACAGGTGCCTTAAAGACTTAATATCTTATGGAAGAAAGCCATAAGATATTATAAGAAACTTTAAGAAGTTGTACATCTAATCTATATTCTTTGGGATTATTTTAACTAAATTTCAACAAATAAGAAAAATTATGGGGCTGAAGGTATAGCTCATTGGTACTGTGTGTCTTTATTATGCACATATCCCTGGATTCAATCAACAAAACCACATTTAAAAAGAGTAAATAGAAGAATTGTTAAATTTATTTTTAAGAATTATTGATTTATAGAGTCATCAGTGTGAATGATACTACTTCTCTGAAGCTTGCCTTTGTTTTGTATCCCCACCTTTGTTTTGTGTATTTTGCTTCAATGTCTTCAAAATGGCATATTTTTGTTTGTGTTGTTTACATCCTTTTTCTCAAGTCTTTTAGTGCGTTTATAAATCTGTTAAGCCCTTCGTGTGGTATTGGTATTAACTCTATCGGTAATTTCTTATAAATTTTTTCATTCAGTAATTGAATGCCTTGTATTGTGAGCTTATTTTCCTGTGTTTTCCATTGTAATTGTATTTCTTTGGTTGATAAAAGGTATTAATTTTCATATACTATGTCTACATTGTTTTTTTGTTTTGGTACCAGGGATCGAACTCATGACCTCATGCTTGCCAGATCTACATTGTTTTTTAACTTTTTTGTTATTTTTTAAATTCTTAGTTACCTAAAATTTAAATTGACATGTGACAATGAGAGAACTTCCCTCCATGTTGTTTACCTGAATATGGCAAATACTAAATAATGTTTTCTGATGGGTTTATCAAGCCTCACTTAACACTTGCCTTTATTAATTATGAAAGATTATGATGCTATGTTTCATGGATTACCTACATTTTTCATCAATTGATATTTGTTTTTTATGTTTGTTCTGTGATACTTCCATTGCTATTATATGTATTCTAGTATCTGGTGATAAATACTTGTAATCTTTTGATAAATATTGAGTTAATTGGAGAACACAAATTACGAATATCAAATATATGATCAACATTTATTTTTATCCTTTCTCTTTTATTCTTGTCTAGCTTCATTGGATACCTCTACCTGGGAATATCCAGATGTCTGCAGATACTATTTTGGTTCCTTTGGTCAGTGGTCGAGTCTCCTTTGCTCCTTGGTGTCTCTCATTGGAGCAATGATAGTTTACTGGGTGCTTATGTCTAATTTTCTCTTTAATACTGGAAAGTTTATTTTTAGTAAGTATCATTATCATATGATTTCACATTGTTGTTTTCAAATACAGTTATTATTGTAATGTTTTAGTTCCAGCCTTAAAATTTAGGGCTTATGTTATGTAAAGAAAATAGACCCAGGTGTAAAGGCTGAAGCAGGAGGATTGTGAGTTCAAAGTCAGATTGGGCTGATATAGCAAGCCCTGTCACAGAAACAAACAAAATAAAAAGCAAGTAATTATATGATGTAATTTCTGGAAAATATACTTAAATCATTTTGCTTTCTGTGGTTGTGTTCTCAAATATGGTACATGCTATGTTCATTTCCAAATAATTTTTGAATAAATAATATTTTTTAAAATCTCTAATACAAAATATTTCCATAATTTAGCAGATGTTTAAGCATAGTTTGTCTTTACCACAAAACTTTATTTTCATAAAATTTATGAAAATCATTGGTGTTTATTGTTGAACAATCTGATGTATATTAGACACCAGAGAGAACAAATTTTAGTCACTTATTTTAGATACATTAGACACTAAAATTAGGAAACAGCAGACAAATGGAATTTGTGTCGGAAATATATGCTTTTACATACCACAGAGCTATAATCAACTACTTGAATTCTGAACAGTCTTAAAAATGCAGAATACATTTTCTTTCTTTTTCCAGTGTTGGAGATTATACCCAGTGATTTTTGCACTGAGCTATATGTTGATCCTGTTTTGTTTTTTATTTTTACTTTCAAACAAGAGCTTACAAAGTTGCCCTGGCTAGGCTCAAACTTGAAATCCTCCTGCAGCAGCCTCCCAGTGGGCTGGGATTATAGGCAAACACAACCATGCCGAGCTCCAAATATTTTTTGTAATATTTTTAAGTTGGATAGAGGAAATTCATTTTGTATTACATAAGATCCTAATTCTTTTCTCTGATGACTGATGATTTTCTCTTTTCTCTAATGATCTAAAGTTTAGTATGTGCTTAGCTACCTATAAGTAATCCCTTCATGAAAATCAAATATTAAAGTAAATTCTAACATTGCAATAACTAATTTCCTAAAGAGTGCTAAGTAGAGGGGGAAATTTTTATTTTAAAGAAAATTAGAATGTTATTTTATTACCAAGCATTTTTATTGTCTAAAAATTATAAAATATTTCGAACTACAAAAAAATTTCAAAAAAAGCAATGTGCTTATTAATGAATGCACTTTAGTGTTTTAACATTTTATCATAATTACATTAGTTCACTATTCTTTTCGGTACCGGGGATCGAACTCATGACCACCTGCTTGCAAGGCAGGTGCTTATGCCGCTGAGCTAAATCCCCAGCCCCTAGTTCACTATTCTTATAAAAATAAAACATTGCAGGTATAAGGTCCCATGTGTACTCTTTGATTTTTCTTTTTATCTCAATTTGGTATTTTATCATTCTCATTCTTATTTTTGCACTTTTACTTCGTAACTATGAGTAACATGTAGTGTTGTCTTTTGTGGTTTGTTTTTCTGAGACAGGATCTCATTATGCATTCCAGGCTGTTCTTAAATTCCTATATAGCCAAGATTGTAATCCTCCTGTCTTAGCCTCCTGAGTGTTAGGATTACTGATGTGCACTAACACACCAAACATGTCTTAAAATGTTTTTAAGCCATGTTAATGCTTTTGCAGTTTGTTCCTACCATCACTTTATTAGCACAAATAGTTCATTTTAACTTCTTTGTGTTGTTCAGTAATCTGAATATATCACAACTTTTTATGCATTCTCTTGTTGATGACATGTAGCTTGTTTGTTTTGGTATTACTTGTTTATTTCCTTTTTTAAATTTTACTTTGAAGAGAAAAAACACAGGAAAATCAAGAAACAAACAAAAAAAGCAATAAAAGCAAAATGATTAAAAAAAACCAGTGGTGATATAGGATTTCAAACCAAGATGATAGAAATTTAACAATAGTCGTTATACTGCATATTGTTATAATTCAAAATAGTTACTCAGGTTACCAGATACCTCGATGCAAAATTACTTATTTATTAATTATAATAAACAATATAGTTACTTGTTTATTTCTGTCTCCTTGTATAAATATGAAAGTTTCTCTAAACTATGTACCTATTAGACACATTTCTGGAATTTGGAATGTATACTTTTTCAGCTTATTTAGAAATTGTCAAATTATTCTTTATTATACTTATACCATTTAAATTCATGCCAACAGTTAATAAAACTTTCCCTTGTTCTGCATCTTCACACACATGGTGTTTTCAGAAAAATTTTATCACTTAGGATATGTTTTAATTTGCTGTTCATAATGATGGCACTAGACATCTTTTTAAAATTATATTAACCACCAAATATCTTACTTATATTCTCCATCTATTTTTCTGTTTGGTCATTTTCTTACTTTTTATGGACAATCATTGTAAAGATTATGTTTGTTTATCTACCTTTGTATTACACATATCTATCTTCTAGTTAGTGGTTCGTGTTCACTTTGTATATAGCAGCTCTATTCAGAACTTTTTATTCCCAAATTACTGTCATTTTTAAAACTATGGTACATAACCTATTTGTATGCATTTTAGAATCATGTATTCCAGAAAGATCCAATTAGAATTATATTAAAGTTGCTTTGAATTGATATGTTGAACAATATACCATAGTTGATGCCACAAGGGGGCTGAGTTAAGGATTTGATTAGAGTATCATAGGATTTATAGAGAATTGGAATTCATTGAAATTGCTTTGAATTGATATGTTGAACAATATACCATAGTTGATGCCATAGGGTACTGAATTTAGAGTTTGATTAGAACTACATTGCATTTGGAGAGAATTTATATCATTAAGATACTGAATTTTCCTCTATAAACAAGCATGGCATAGATCTCTAGGTATTTTTCAGATGTCTTTGCTTGATAAAGATCTTTCATATCTTTTTTTAAAGATTTCCTTGAGTATCTTAAAATTTTTATAGAGTTTTAATTTCATCGCAATACACACATTATAAAAAGTTTAAATATGTGCAAAGTGGAACAGAATAAGGAACCTGTGTTTCCACACCTTGCTTTAGCACTACTCAGTAGCCTAATATTATGAAATCATCTGCAGCAGTGTTTCTCAACCTTTTTTTTTTAATTTTGCCTCCTTATGGAACCTTTGTAGACATTTTCCCCCTAGTTCCCTCTTCCATGAAATTTTAATATCCCAAGTATATTGTAAATATGTTTATGGACTATGTATCTGTGCTTTATGTATAAAAAGACAAGTTTTTTTCCTCTTCCAGAACATGAATTTTTCTCCCCTTGGTAGCAAAATCATAGGCACTCAGAAAGCAAGATCCATGCTATAGCCACCTCCACACCAATTCAACTATTTAATACATTGTCCTCTTTTAAAGATAAAATTTATTAATGGAAAATACACAAATCTTTGCCAATTTTGACAAGTGGACATATTTGTTTTTTTTTTTTTTTATTTAAAGAAAAGGAAACGAGAAAAAAAAATACATGGAGATAAAAAAAAGGGTAGAAATAATACAAAATTACAGACAAACAAAAGGTAAGAAATTGACGGTTGATAAGTTACAAATTGTCATCTTCGAAATAGCTGTTCAGGTTATAGAATTAGAGTATTTAGAATGATATTCAAAAAAGTGATCCTACAAACCATTCTGCTCTATGATCGAACAAAAGCTCCGTAATATGATTATCAGTACTACCTATTTGTTTTACATCTCAAAGAGGGTAAGGTTAACCATATCAAAACAGAACAGAACATTTAAAAAAGATAAAAAACAATTTAAAGAAATACAGATTTCATAGCAAGTCCACTGGAGATCTTCCTTATCTAACTGTCTCTAGCTTCTTACAAATAGTTGTCCCTAACTTCACCCACTTTATATACTTATTGCATATTATAGAACTAGTCAAATCATTACAGGATGATGAAGTCTTTTTAGGTCCTCAAGTTCCAAATTAGGGAAGACAATAGCAACTACCTTCGCATCTCTCATTCTCTTTGTGATAGCCGTCCCCATCTCTGCATATGCTGAAGTTGAACTGAAGAAACCAGGCCAATGTCATTCTAATCAGCAAACGATAGATTGCTAGAATTTATATTATAATGCTACAAAATAAGCCTCGGGTTTTTCAGGTCTCTTCCTCAGAGTATTTGTTCCTATCCTCTCTGTATTATAGGGAAAACCAAGTCATAACAAGACAGCAAAACAATTTCCTAGAAAAACATGCAATGGATAAGACATATAAAACTATAATATAAATGATCTTCCGTAGCTACTATGTTTTCTCTTGTTATTTTCAATAGATTTGTCCACAACACTGGCTTATTATAGTTAAACATACTATCACCTATTTTTATAAAAACTTAACTTTGACTGCATTGTAGGATTTGAGAGCTGTTACTGATTCATACCAGTATGGATATCCTTTACATCTTGTCATGCTCAGAGTAGTTTCCTCTACTTTTAGGGTTGATTCTAACATGCATACTAATTTCAAATAGGATCAGTCAAGGCCAACCAATAGTCTTATGATTCAGATACAATTAAGATCAGTCATAGTAAGACAATGTAAGTAATACAGGATTTCAGCCTAAGTCAATAGGAAAGTAAGGATAGTTACCATGGTATAACCTGCTATTTTTGGTTCTAGAGGTCTGTGTCAAGTGGACATATTTGTGTAAGTCATACCTCCTTCAAGAAACAAGAATTGTCTTTCCAGAAAAAGATATTTTCAATTATGAATTCAAATTATTTGTTAATATTAAAAAATCTAATTTCTGTTGCTTTAGGGGGGTATCATCAATCTATTTTTATTTTATGTTTGTTTATTATAGTCCTGCGGATTAATCCTAGGGCTTTCACACTGAGTTGCATCCCCCGCCCTTTAGAAACACTCTAAAATTTTGAGATAGGGTCTTAGTCACTCAGTTGCCTAGGCTGAGCTCAAACTTGCTATCCTTTGACCTGAGGGTTCTAGAATTCTCACTTTATAGGCATACACTACAGT